GAAAAGTCGGCAAACAGATTCTCACTGCTACCACCCTTGAATCTCTTTCAGCTGTTGTTTTGAGTACGGCGCTTTGTAGAACATTTACCCTTGTATTTAGTAAAGGCTATAGCAAAAATGCCTAGCAATGTGGTTTTGAGCTTTCACCTTTTATGATTTAAGATAATCTTTTGGATGGAACCCATCAAAACTAAATATTCAAAGGGTAGAAATTATCCTTCACACAAATCGATTATTTTCATCTTTAAATGTATCTGGTGATTCTTATTCCACAAGAATGGAAAATGTAGTTTTTTGTGTTATTGTGGGAGGTTATATGAAAAGACCAGGGTTACGCGAAACAATTATCTATTCTTACAGTTAACAAGGAATGAAATTGGTTCAAAATCAGATACCTACTTGTGAAAACTTGGCAAAATCTCCAAATTTCTCAAAAGATTGACTAGATACTTTGTGGTTTGAGGAAGGAAGTGGCCCGGCGCCACTGGAGGGGGAGGGGGAGGGGGAGGCAACGACTGGCTGGACCTTGGAGTGGGAACCGTAGCCACCGTGGTCGTCGTGGCCATAGCCAATGACCGTGGGTCGTCGTGGCCATATCGCCATGGCGTGGTCGTCATGGCCATATCCACCATGGCCGTGGTCGTCGTGGCCATATCCACCATGGCCGTGGTCGTCGTGGCCATATCCACCATGGCCGTGGTCGTCGTGGCCATATCCACCATGGCCGTGGTCGTCGTGGCCATATCCACATGGCCCGTCGGTGTCCATATCCACCATGTGGTCGTCGTGGCCAATATCCACCATTGGCCGGTCGTCATGTGGCCGTGGTCGTCGTGGCCATATCCCTTGTGGTCGTCGTTCTTGTGGTCGATACGAACCCTTGTGTCCTCCCTTCTTGCCGTAGGAACTCTTGTGGCCGTAGTGTCCTTTGTCGCCGTAGTGGCCCTTGTGGCCCTTGTGGTCATCGTGGTACTTGCCCTTCTCGTGGTGCCCCTTGTGGCCGTGCTTGTCGTGGTGATGTCCCCCCTGGAAGAAATCATTACCATGATTGTGTTGCACATTTCATGCACAGAAGACATTTTACTTTTACCTTTTCCCTGAGTAGTCTGCTCGAATTGTTCCTCCTAAGTGAAACCAGTGCCTACCTTGTAGTGGCCTCCCTTGTAGTCCTTGCCCTTGTGGCCCTTGAAGTAGGCATCGAAGTCGTCGTATTTGCTGTGGTACTTCTTCTTGTCGCTGTCGTCGTAGAACTTCTTGCTGTGGTGGTACTCCTCCTTGTGGTAGACGTTCTTGAAGCCCTGATAAGTTCAAGGTGGAAAAAGCTTCTGTATTCACACAAATATTCATGCTGATAATCCTGTCCAGATAATGTAATGAATTCCTTATCTTTGGCCAAGTCTGGGATGTTATTTCTCGGAAGATATTTAGTTCGTATCTTTGTTAAGGCGAAGAATGATGAACAATAGATGAATAATGAAGGTAGTAACATCAATAACAGAAATAATAGTCTATGTACATCATCAATGTAACTCACCTTGTCTTTGTGACCTTTGTTGTGGTGACCCTTGGATCCGTAGTGGTGGCCTTTCTTGCCCTTTTTGCCTTTGTGAGAATCTCCGTAATACTTGTGCTTGTCGTGATGCCCCTTGTACTTCTTGCCATTGTTGCCCTTGTATCCCTGCCAAGAGAAAAATTTAATGTCCATTCGAAAATCGCTGTAAATCTTCAATTTTGTCCACTTGTCACTGAGGTAAAGTGTTCTCACCTTGTAGTGTGCCTTTCCATGGTCGCCGTAGTGGCTGCCTTTGTAGCCCTTGTTGGCTTTATGTCCCTTGTGGCCCTTGTAGCCGGCCTTGTCATGGTACGAGCCCTTGTATCCCTTGTCGGCCTTGTGACCCTTTCCACCTCCGTAGCCTGTTTGATATTTTGAATAGTTGAATGCTATTTTCTAAGGCAGAGGTGAGAAAATATCAAGAAATCATTTAGAGCAGGATCATAAGGCGTTATCATATTGAAAAACCGATATACCAACTCTGTGACAATGCTCCCATACCAGTGGCGGAAGGGTGGAGGTCAGTTGCGGCCACCACGGAGACCTGCTGACTCTCCATGGGCATGAGAAGGTCGATCTCCTGTGGACCTTGAAGGAAGTCAACTCTAAGGTCCACCTCCTCCTTCTCCCCCTTGGCTGAGGCGGAAACTGCCACTGCCGCCACCAGCATAATGGCGGCCTGAATCTGGTTGGAGTTATATGCAAATAAGATTTCATAAATGCTGTTTATATTTGTCGAAGGATAGATTAGATTTAGTCCTAAAGAGGGGGGATGAATGGAAACAAGGAAATGATGGAGTTATTAAAATTCCGAGAACAGAAGCAGACACGGATACACAGCGAGGAAGAGGAGGGATAGATGAGAGGAGGAGAAGGTGGAGAGAGGCACAAGAAGAGCTGAAGGAGAACACGAAGAGAGGCTTAAGTAGAAGAAAGGATCGTAGCGACAACGAAAGAGGAGAGATGAGAGAGAATGATCCACA